AAATGCCGATGGTCTAGTGTATAATTTACTAAGATTTGTACGCTACAGAATTTCGAAATACGGTCTTGTTTGTCCAGATAAATTGCATGAGCGCATGAAGAAGAATCAGATTGAAATATGGTAAAGGCGTGATCACATGACTTAACTTTATCTCCACTACAGTGCATAAGATCATTAGCGTAAATTTCGATGTATGTATAGTCGTGTGATGAAATTCCTAAATACACAGGAAGGTTGACAGCTTTGATAAATGATTTATCCAGAGTAGAATTATTTGTACGTATGTTCTCTGGCGTTGGTACTGGGAAGTTCATAACACGATATAAATCATACTCTGCGTAAACCAATGACAATGGGATGCGGAGTTGAATATATAGATAATTTGAAGTTTGGTGAAATATAACACTCTTTCGGCGAAAATAATACGACAACACGTTGTGGTTAATTTTAAAATCGGTGGCTATGTTATTAAGTTGTGTTCTTACCTGGTCCAAGGTGTCTCTCACTTGTTGGTGACTGATGAATTCAATGAGAAGAAATCCAGATATCAGTGAATGTAAACCAGTAAGATGACGCTGATATTCAAACATGAGGTCATTAGGAAAATCTGATCTTTCATTCACTTGGAATTGAAGGGATGAAAGTTGGGTTAGATGTTTGATGTCAAGTATGGTGACATTAATGCTTCTAGCCGAATGATTAATATAGTCTTGTAAACTATGCATTTCTGTCACGATATTTGACATCAAACAATAAATTTAGTTTTCAAACGCCTACAACATTTTCCGCTGCTCGTAGTTTCGCTATTCCACCTAAAACTGAATGTATTCAAGTGGCCCGACTGAAATCAAAATTGCCAGATTGCCTAATTGGGACAACGTTTGCAGCTAACCATACCGCAGCTAAAGGATATACAACTGGTCGAGTTCTTACTACCGCTAAACAAAATAAAATCCACATTCGCATTCTTAACCCATCAGATAATACAGTATATATAAAAAAGAACACAAAACTGGGGAACTTCTGCCCATTGCCCTCTCAAGCTACGATTGTCCCTCTCCCTGAATCAGACAAACATCCCACTAATACTCCTGCGGTACCCAATTCATGTGAGATGATCAATATTTACTCTCCGAAATTAAATTATCCGAATCTAATATTGACTCACATGAACGAGTCCGCGACCCAGTTTAACCATGTTTTCTGAGGTTTATGGTTTAACTTACCTCAAGCGCTATCAACTAGTCTCGCAAACTACAAAAAAAAAACAAAAAAACAGACAAGACGTAGGCGCTTCCAGCATGCAAGCGGAATACAAAAAACATACAGTTGTAAATGATAAGTAAACTTTGTTCACCCTTATCTCGCAACATGTCGACAACTTCTAGCCTGGCAGCTTCTAGCGGTGTACTGTTAAATATATATATTTTTTTTTTCACGCATTTTTTTCTCCGAAGGCATTATAAAACTGACTAATTATACATTTTCGTTACGCTGTAGCAATCACCGTGCTGATAGCATTGCGATGCAATGGATGAACACCATTGCTGTGCTGTCATCGATAACTAACTTGCATGACTATTTATAGTTAATCGCACTTGTAACACTCACAATTCTGGTCAGTGTTTTGTAGATATCAAGATGGCAAATGCCTAGCTCTAAGTTCAGACTCTTCGCTAATCTACATATGAATACACGTGTGTCAACTACTAAATGTACATTGAGAAAAATTACCAAGTAACACACACACCCAGTACATTGGGTCACATGAACTGTGATATAAATAAATATCTTGATTACGTGTCCGTCGTGTTTCCTCATGTGAAATCGTTTCGATTGCATAAATTGTTCATCTTATGGTTCTTTTAAAAAAAATCCCGGACAGTTCGTCAGCATTAAATTTCGTCTTGGTGTGTTTCCTTAAATCTGAAATCGAAGTTGGCCGTTACCATTCAATATGCATGGAGTGATCTACTCAACGTTGGTGGTTTTATAACGTTTAATGCAGTTTTCGCAAACAAAAGATTAATAACATAGCAAAATATTCAATCAAAGGTGATCTACAGCATCTACAAAGTGTGATTTTAAAGGTGTATTTATTCAATGTAACTATATGATATTTATCGAAATATTTAGTTAATATTTAGTATCAAACAATGCCACTGAATCAACAAAAGTCACTAATGACTGGGTATACTTGTGTTTTGAACACCTTTTGTTACACTTTATATCATGACTGATCATTTTTCTAACTTTAAAATTATATATAATAATTATCTGTTTTTTTCATTGAAGCGATTGATGGGACAATCCGATTGGTGAATGGCAACCTGCCAAATCAGGGAAGGGTAGAAGTTATGCACCAAGGACAATGGGGTACGGTTTGCGAAGCTGGATTTGGAAACAAAACTGTGGACGTAATCTGTCGACAACTTGGCTACAATAGGTACGACAAAAAGAACACGTTGTATACAGGCTACTGTTATACAACATAATTTATTTTTGTAATACAATATTTTTAGTTTTTGTGTAGTATGACAAATGTAGGACAAACAAAGTGAGGCGGAGAGAAGTTCAATCTGCTTGCATGCACAAATCGGGTTCCTGGGATTGTCATTATATATTATCAACATCCAGAAATATAACATTGTCAGTATATGTGCAACAAATGTGGATATTGTACGTCCCTGCAAAATGAGGCATCACATGACCAGGATATACTTGATGAATCAGTGGTAATGCTCTATTCCCTTTAGGGGTGGGATTTCACGAACTGGTGCAAAGTACGGCGAAGGAACAGGACCTGTGTGGCCGAGTGATATTAAATGTAACGGGGATGAGGCACGGCTGGTCTCATTTCGCCATCGTCCCTGGGGCCTTAATAACTGTGGACATTACGAAGATATTGGGGTTATATGTAACAACGAACAAAGTAAGTTTATATTAATTGTGATTGCCTTTTAAATTTGTTGTATTTATGCAATATTTAAATTTACAGTTTTCATTGTTTTTATTCTGAGAATGGTGTTCATGCAATACAAGCTCAGTAGATCACAATTATATTATTTTGTCAACCACTACAAATGCTTCAAATGTGAATGAAAACTATAGCGTTTATATTATTTGCGTGTAGCGAGAAGAAAATTTAAAAACTACATAAGGTGCGGATCTTATCAAGGTGTTTTTATACACTATTATCTATGTGAGGGTTATAAGATTTCACACCTTTTATACATATTTTTGAAGTCACCAAAGCGAAAGCATGTATAAAGAACGTGTTATTTTATACTTGTCGTTTAGCAAGTAGACACAAGTTAGAAAGGAGTTTATGCGTTTCATCGGCTGGCCAAGTAAAAGTGTGCAAGATGAAAAAAAGATCATGGCAATGTAACAGTGACTGAATATATGATTGGCAGTCATAATTTGTAAGATGATAGCAGTGATGTGAGTTACAACGACTTTGCGTCGCTCATAGTATTTCAATGATGCAGTACCCAGTCACAAGTGTTCTTCAGGGACTAGCTCTCAATCACGACATTCTATGTTATAAATAAATCTCCTTACAATCTATGATTTTCTATCTTATTTTTCAGATGATATGGACATCAGACTAGTGAAATTAGACGGCACACCAAACGATTCAAGTGGTCGACTAGAGATTTATCACAATGGGGAATGGGGCACTGTTTGTAACGATGATATCAATAATCAGGTAGCGATAGTAGTGTGTCGGCAGTTAGGACATACGTAAGATATGAATGTATTATTCTGTTGATTGTATTCAAGCATGTCAGAAACAATAATCTAATTTCTAATAATATAAACAATAATCACTGATAAGCGTATTAGTGTTTTTCATTTTTTTATTGAACGAATTATATTGCATCTGCCACACAAGAGAATGTATCTCGCAATTCAATTCAATTCAATTCATTAAAAACATGTTATCGTTCTTACTGCATCTATAACTGGCATCAATGAATGAAGAAAATCGCGAGTGAATTTATTTACTAATATATAGAAACGTACTCATGATAAATATAGTGCGACATGCTTTCGGTAATTTTCACTATCACTTCGGAATTGGAAGCACAATATTTGAAAAACATTATTATTTTTATCATTATTATTAATTATTTTTTTTAGATTGTCTTTGAGCTATTTCAACTGTTTACTGTGTAGTTAATTCTACACAAGAAGAATGATATTTTGCCAACAGTGGCTGTAATAACTACATACAGTATTTGGTCAATTGATGACACAAACAAATAATATTGGCCCATTGCATAGTACAAGTATAATTTAATATAATTAAAACATTATTTAGCTGAATACTATGTTGGCCGGTGACATCTTTAACACTTAATCATATAGCAAGTTGCGTCCAGATCACAACCAATCGGAGCTTGTGTTACGCGCCATTTTATAGTAGATACGCTCAAATTGGCTGACAAACCCAAAGTTTAATAAGATTGATAAGGAGCATAAAATATGAGCATAAGACAACGCGGGGCCCAATGTGACACATAAACAACTGGTCAATCTAAAAAAAATAAAATAAAAACAAATACACTCATGCAAGCCAGATTTGTTATTAATAATACGAATGTTTATCTGAAGAAAGTACTTGTAGAAGTATTAATTATATTAATTATCGTAAATTTATTATGATACTAAGTAAGGTACTCGCTCATTTTTTCTACCCCGCACTGAGTCCAAAATACTGCCCCTGTTATTAATTGAACTTAAACTCAGCTACTTACCTGAACTACAAAACCCAACTCGGAACAGCCTACAACCCTTTATTTACTTCTGTGAATAGCTGACGTCATAACGAATTGTCATGGAATATTCGCGAAAAATTTAGCAAATGCCAAATACAAATTGGAACAAACAATGACCTAAATATTCAAGTCGTAAGTCGCTGACCTTGTAAGTCGCTGACCTTGTAAGACGCAGATGAAAAAAGCACACAAATAATAAAACATAATAATCACACTAAAAAACTCCTAGTACAACGCAATGTTATTTCAACAGTCTCTTTATGAATACTTAAAACATAATATGAATTACGGTAGGTAGAATACTACTCAAAATGCCATTTTATTTCATGTTACAAAGATTATGGGGGTCACCGTACTCGGTTCGGAGGAAATCGATGTACATATCGAAGTAACAATAGCATGTTTTTTATACTTTACGGCCCTGGTTTTCTATGGCAGGGGAATATCCCCAAATTCCGGTCGACATATGGTGAAAACAAATATCTACAATGTATCTGTTCATGTCAAGAGGTATTAAAAATGACTATACTCATAGTGAATTTTTACTGACGAAATGTGATTTAATTGTGGTCTATGGAAGCGCCATTTTATGCATCGTATTATTTGACAGTTTTACCAAAAATAATACTAAACGATTAATTACAAACATTTTGACACGGAATATTGTCAGTGCTATAGGCGTTAAAACGTGTGCACGAGTAACATCGTGCCTTAACGCACCAGGCTGGTAAATTTATCTTTCTACTGTGCAGCTGTTGTAACTTTTATTATATTGGAATTGTACAGATTAGGAAACTGCAATTAACATTTTCACAGGGTTTCCAGTATACGTGCCGCAATTTGGCACTCTTCAAATCCAGGTGCAGGTAAAATATGGATGGACAATGTAAAATGTGGTGGTATGGAGCATAGTTTAGCGGAATGTCGCCACAACGGTTAGGGTGTTCATAACTGTGTTCATAGCGAAGACGTGTGTTTCATATGTAAAGCAACAACGTGGCCAGGTAAGTTTAATTAATCAAGTGTCCCTAACTGGTACAATTGCATAAAACAGTGAATACGAGAAAACAAAACAGTAATAACATTCCCAACCAAACGAAAGGTTGAAACAGATTTTAACACTCCAACACACTCGAACACCATACCAACGCTCAAGTGGAGTTCTGACCCCATAGCAATAGTAATTATGTGACTCGTCTCTATGATTACTTATTTACTATGTTATGATACTATTTAATTTTACAGCGGAAGGCGATGTTGATTTGGTTCCCAGTGGTACAAATATTTTCGAAGGCCGTGTTGAAATATACCATAACGGTGCTTGGGGAACAGTGTGTGATGACGGGTTTGATAGCGATAATGGTCGAGTAGTGTGTTCCCAGTTAGGGCTTGGGTAATTTGAACATTGTTATGTTCTTGAATAATACAATAATATATACCCAAATATATTGTACAATTTGTATATTCTCAGTACCAGATCATCAGACAACTCAAATAAATGTCTTATCTCGCAGATAATAGTGCCTCGTTATGAAGCTAAATCAAGCAGTGATTAGAAAGAATAAATTAAATGTGACGTTTACAGTAGATCAATAAAATGATGAAATATATATTTTCTCTTTTTACTAATTGCAGATACGCAAGCCACAGTAGTTCTGCGGCCTATGGACAAGGTACTGGGAATATTTGGATGGATGATGTACATTGCATCGGAACAGAAACCACGCTGTCTACGTGTCCCTTTAACGGCTGGGGAGTGGAAGACTGCGATCACATTGAGGATGTGGGAGTAGAATGCAATAATGGTAAATATTGAGAAAAGATACGACTGAAAATATTTTTTTTTATTTATATATTTCTGTTATAACATTAGGTCTTTTCCCCTTTTCTTTTCATATACAAAGATATAGGTTGAACTATAAAAGATGGACAGATAAATATATTTTATCAATAAAAAAATTCTGACAAATTGTAGGCATGAAATACGTAAATTGTTCTGCATAAATTTGTGATTGATTCGATATTTCAACGTAAACTTGAGTTCCATATGTATGTCATACCGTATGTGCTTACTGACAGACATAAGACTGGTTGGTGGTGACACCGAAAAGAATGGGCGCCTTGAGGTGTTCCATAATAACATTTGGGGTACAGTTTGTGATCATGGATTTGATGAGATAGACGCATTGGTGGCCTGCAGACAGCTGGGATACAAGTAAGTATCAAATCAGAAGGATTTACAAAAAAAAAGTCAGGAGAGACAACAGTGACTTTCAATGTCCGGAACTGTCGCCTGGAACAAAAACATTTAAAAAAAATCAGAGGAAGATTTACATATATCAAACAAAATATAGAAACGGATAATCTGATTGTATTTTATTTATTTAAATATTCAAGCATAATGTTCTTGGTTCTTCGTGTAATATTGTAAATAAATAAGGTCGTCGCTGATTGGCTCCCGAGTTGGAATGACAATTTCAGTTTTAAATACCCCGCGAAAGTGTTCTGTGTTCTTCTTAAAATTAGGTGTTCGTGTGTACAAAAACTACGAATTTGGCCGAATAGCGGTTGGATTAATATTACCTAACGGATCATGTGACTGTGAAAGTTTGGTATTTCTTCCCTGATTTGAATTTCTCAAATTGTCCCTTATTTAGTTTCATGCCGTATTCAAGATGGCGACCCCCATATAGTAAATATCAGTAAATTAATCACATTATAGACTGTGACTACAACATACCACCTTTATCATCTTTTACTGAACAGTCGATGTGTAGTAGAACATAATTTAACATAACAATAATTTAGATTATTCACATTATTCATAATTCACATTATATTTTATCATTTAAATTTCACGTATATTTAGAGGCATGGGCCATATTTGATAAACAAGGTAGATATGGGCAATTATATTATACCAGTGTATTGATGGTGTTAATCCATCGATTTGATTGGTCCAAACACAAAATTTGCATATGCAATTAATAGTATATTGGCTGATAATGCACAGCTAAACAAAGTGGCACTGGAACATGAATTGGCTACAGGTTTACTACGGAAATACATAAAACAGGTAGTATTTGATTTTTAGGGAAATATAGTGGTTGAAATATAGTGGAAAAAATACCGAATTAAAAACATCTGAAAAATTATACAACCATAATATTGCTATTTGTTAATGGCGGGATCCAAGTTGTGAGCGTCGGTCGTTGGGTGATCGTCGTTCGCCACACAAACCTAAACCACCCTCCCTCAACACCGTGAGGGACGGTGCCTAAACGAACGCCAGAAGGCTGTGTTCTCCGTGTTGTGACTTTGAAATGGATTGCGAACATCCAACAACGAAAACATGATCTTAAGTTTAACTGGTGACCATCACCAAATAGATGAGATTGTGGGATTGAAAGACAAAAAAAATGCAAAAAAATACGAGTCACAGGCAATGTATGCCCCAATAACAACCGGTGTCCCGTAGCAGCGTTCGAATTCTAGCTGACACAATTGCAGTGAAATTGTGGTATTGTAATTCTTTACTATGGGTAAATAAATTACAGGAGATAATGAAGATAATTTTGAAAGCTTCAGATTTGTGCCGAGTGTACACCAACCACTGTACTATACA